TTCCGTGGAAATACTTGGTGCCAGTGTTTTTCAGTACAGGTCTGTTGGGAGGAAAAGAAGTTTTGCTCTCTGCCATACTGGGAGTGGATTTCCTTCCATCTTTAGGTGCTTCTGAATGTGCTCGTGGGTCCTGGAAAACAGCAATTGAACTTTTGGCTATTAGGAAAGTATTGTTAATAACATGTACTCATTACAAATTCAGTGCTTGAGGAGTATGTACTCATTAAAATCATGACACCTGACATGTACAGTTACTTTTTTCCTATTTTAATTTGTTTTAGATATTTAGTCTCGTAAAATACACTTACGGTTTTAATCCATTCAAAAATATTTTCATTATTTGGTTCATGCTGAATTAGTCCCTATATATTTGAGTATTTGACCATGTTGAGTTAGTTCCCATAAGTAAACATCTTTTCAAGGACTAAAATTAATATGTTCAACATGTTATAAGGATTATAGAAAAAAAATGTGGACCAAAAGCTAAAAGTTATGTTTTTCAGGGATTATAACTATTTTTTTAGGAATTAAAACTAAAAAAGTTGTGTTCAAAGAACTAAAATGTTATTTAAGCCTAAAAAATATTGGAAACTATTAGAGGTAAGAATACTGAAAATTTGGTCCTCTCATGGATTTGAAGAAAATAAACATCTCTTCATTTTCCAATCTTGAAGTGGTAATGGGCAAGATCATTGTAATTGTAAACAATTTAAGATACCTTTCTTGTCTCACACTTTGATGTTTTCCTTTCCTTATAAAAATCAGGTAGTGGCCTCGCTTTGAAGCAAAAGCTTTGGCGTAGTTTTCTAATAATCTCAGTTTCAGACTTCTCCTGCAAATAAGAGGATTCGATGTTATTGGTTAAACTGAATTCTAAGGAACAAAGATAACTCACGATATTTTACTTGGTATTAATTTTACTTTTCACCCACCTTGAGTTTGGTTTGAAGCTGCACTTTTTGTGCTTCATTAGCATTGAACTTTTCTTCAAGTTTCTATATTGATGAAAATCAACAGACAAGTACTTCAATAATAACCATTGTAGTAAACTCTCATAATCAACTGAATATAAGAGAAAAATAAGGATTTTAGTTTTGCCTTCTTTCTTCTTGCAGCCCTTTCTTCTGTCCTCAAGCTGAAAGGGGATGATATCAGTGGGGACCTCATTCTATTTCTGCATGCAAATAATACATTCGTAATAAAGGTCAAAAAACAATAACGAGAGACAAAAAAGCCTTTAAAGGCCAATAGACCTTATTGGTAAAAGTGTTTGTAAAGGTACAAGGACTCCCAATTAGTTCCTTGAGAAGTTGCATCAACTCTTATAATGAATTGGCCGATTGGCCAAGAATTCTAGATATAACATGTACTTTCCATACATATTGAGATAAAACTGAAGTTTGAGGATGTGCATGTATATGTATCTCCTAGGCTAGTAACTTATTGACTAGAGATGATAAAGATGAGTAATTCTTTATTTGTAGTCCTTTTTATCCGACGGAAGTTGACTATAATTAGCTTCTAATTAGACATAGATTTGTGCTTTTAGAGCCTGTTTGGATACAAGTTAGTAGTGTTTTTTTAGAATTTTTTTACTGGAAATTAAAGGTTAATTCCAGTGGAGAAGCTCTCGAAAATACTTCTAGGTTGTATTCAATTCTTAGTAGACTCTTAGTAGTGTTTTTTAATAATGACCGAGAGACAAAATTGTTCAATTGTTCTTCGCTTCAAAATTTTGTTCTGACACTAAAAAGTTAGTACTGTAATCTAAGTGGAAATAACTTACTCTCCAGAAAGCAAGCGCCATTTAGAACCAGCCGTATTGTTGCCTGGTGCTGATGATAAATCAAGAGGTGTTTTGTTCCTGAAATTTTACATGCACAATATCAGGATCCAGAGAAAACTTTAAAGCAAACAGTGTCACATTAAAAATAACAACTTTCTAGAAATGAGTACCTTTTCTTTTCGGTTAATGGGGTCAATGAAGAATACTTTTGTACCTCCTTGGAAACCTGTAATCGGAAAATGACTCACTTTAGCATCCTTGACAATAATTGTAACAAGATCAAGGCAAAATTGAAGCTGAAGGGCTTGGAATAGTGTGAAAATTGAAAAGCCAAAGCAAAAAAGCTGAAATACCATAGTTGGAGTTTTTAAAGGAGTCAAGTTATCCTTTGAAGCCTTGGAAGAACCAGCACCAGCTCTTGTACTTTCAAATTTTCTCATGACTGATGCAGTCAATCTATTAAGTTCTCTAATGGGAGTAAAATTAACTGACAGAGGAGTAGATCTCTTTTTATCTGCAGTGCTTGTAGCAGGCTTATTGCTCATTGGTGTAGCAATATTATCTCTTTTGGAAGAAATATGAGCTATGGACTTGACAGGTGTAGAGGTGAACTTGGAGGTTCCATTAGCCTTTGACAACTTTAAGGAAGAAACTGGTGGTTTCTTCTTGCCCATACTAGCCAAAACTTCTTGATCAGGTATAGAAACCTGTTGCAATAACTAGTCAGTGTTATGACCTCACAATATAAAAAAAAGGAAAAAAATTCCCAGAAATAAATAAATTAACATAATAATAACCTTCACTTTTGGTGTCAAAATTGGAGGTGTTACAATCTCACTAAGCTTTTCACTATGATCCTTTTGTGCATCAACATCTTCAAGCAGTTTTTGCCATTCAACCTTCATTGAATCTCCTACTACAACAGCAGCTACTTCTTCCATCACTGGCTCAGCTCCCACTACCTTGTCACTTCCTGGTGCAATAACACTTGTCTCTACACTTGAATTTGGATCATGATCACTGGCTGTGAGTCTGACCATGGCATCATGCTCAGAGGCAAAAGAAAAACTCAAAGCCTTTGTTGCATCTTGTTCTTCCTTGGAAACCATTACAGAATTTGGACTTATTTGTGAATGATGAGTATCAGCATCATTGTCATTGTCGTTGTCGTTGTCGACCACTCCTTCATGTTCTTGTCCTGTGGCATTGTTTGGTGCCCCATTGTTGGCTTGTTCAAGCAAAGCAGCTGCCTTCTGAGCTGCAAGTTTCTTGTAGTGAGCTTCAAAGAAGGCCTTCTTCTGTGCAACTGAGCCAGGTCTTGAGTACCTCTCTGCCTCTTCCACGTAGCGGTTGTGGGAGAAACTAGACCACTTCTCCCATGCCAGGGACTCTGACATGAACCTCCCAAACGAAATTGACTGCCCAAGTGCATGAATGGGGTTGTTCTGAAACGCACAAGTTTCACAGTTTTTTCAAGGTGAACCTTCATTGAACATAGAAAGAAAAATCGCTTCTGGATTAATTGCACCCAACACAAGGCCACAAAACAAAACTTTAACTAACTTTAAATTAGGACATGTTGGATAAACTTCTTTGGAAATACTTCTAAAAGAGAAAAAATGGGATGAAAAAATGAAATAAGTTTCTCTATAAGTAAACACTAGTTCATACATTATAAATAAGTTTTCTGGAGAAGCTAGGTTCTACTTAATTTTAGCTTATGGAGAAGATTATCTCATTCTTTTCTTTTCTTATTTTTATCTCCTAGGAGTCTGAAGAAGTTTATCTAAACAGATTCATAATGTGTTTAGATTATAGCTTGCAAACCATTGTTTGACCCAACGAAAAGCAGCTTTTTCTTCCACTTCTTTTAAACCAAGATTTGGGACCCAAAAATCATGTTCGTGTTATCAAATTATAATTTTGTCAATCATGTCATTTGTGTATGAAACTCAGATTGCACTCTCCAAACTAAGGTTTGGGTATGCAATTACAAACAAACTACAATCCAAGTCCATGTAAAAATCAATTAACAAGGGGTTTCCAAGCCAAAAATTGCACGCAATTTTCATTAGTGAAAGCAAGAACGAACAACACCCTTTTGAAAATGATTTTGTTTTCTTTCATTCCATTGTTTCATAAACTACACGCATGGCCAAGTAACTAAAAGGGAAACAAAAGCATTGAAGGAAAGAAAAAATGGGAAGTTATTTGAAGGGGTTCAAGAATCCAACAATACAAATTCTGGAAAACAGAAGTGACAGCTAAATGAACTGACCTCGTTGGCTTCATTGGAAATGCCGGAAGCATAACAGAATGGTTGTTGCATGAGACAAGTTGAGTCCCCCATGTTTCACTGCAAGGTCGAAACCTCAAAAGATCCAAACTTTACCACAATTATTATTATGATTCTATTTGATAGTATTATTATTGTTATATGTTTTTTATGTATGTGGCCGTTTGTTTGTGGGTACATGCACATTCAAATTTGAAATTCAAAATGTGAAGCATGGTTTGTTGTGTGTGCATGATGTGGAAAAGCAGACAGACAGAGATTATAAAAAGTGAAGTGTCGTGCAATCCTTCAATCTTTTCTAGTTTCCAGAGTGTGGGGTCTACTAACAAAGTGTTTGGAGGAGGAGCCACAATCTTTTGCTACCAAAATAATATTAAAAAAATTATAAATGTCCTAAAGTTCTGCATTAAAAATTATTTCTCAAGATACCATTACTATGGGAAGCCTTTCTTTCAATTCCCGATTTCTCTGTTACAATTTTTAAATTTTTTCTTTCACACGTTTAGAAGTCGGGAATTGAAAACTGAACTTCTAAACATGTTTTTTTTTTTTGTTTTTTTAGCTGTTATTATTTTGATAAATTAATATTTTTATTATTACGTTAATTATAATTTTAATTAAAAAAATACATTTGTAAATCATTTGAATGAGGATTAAATTAGTGTGAAAAAATAATTAATTTAGACTTGAATATGATTCTTGTCATGTAATTTAGTTTTTTTTTTATTCTTAAAAATGTCCAAATCATTCTTATAAAATTTAAACATTTTATTTTTTTTAGTATTAAAATTTGTTTCAAAAATACTAACTTGCTGACATCATCATATATCATATCAATAAAAGATGATCTCATAATTATGTCATTATATATCACATTAATAACAGAAAAAAAATAAAGAAAGAAAAAATTATAGAAACGAAAAATGAAGAAAAAAAATGATATTTGTAAGCATGAATAATTAAATAAGCATTAAATATAAAATAAAATTAATAAAATTAACATAAAATGAACTTTTTAAGAGAAAATCAATTACTATATATTAAATATGAATGTCTTTTTAACATGGAAACTTTTTTTAGGGATTGTTCTTTGACAGAGATTTTAGGGATTATTTTAATTCATATATTTCATTTTTTATTTATCATAATTATTTATGAATTAAATTTTCATAGTTTTAAAAATAAATTATTAATAGATAAAAAAAATTTGTACTACGATATAAATTATTTATCATAAATCTAAAATATAATTTATAAATTTAAAAATATTTATTTATATAAATTTTAAATATAATTTATATGTTCAAACATAATATTTATTTGTATATAAATTTTAGTTATTATAATAAATATTCAACTTGTTTATTGCACATTTTAAAATACTAATATAAAATAAACTTAAATAACATAAATCATGCATGCACACAATCCTATGATATTTTTTTAAAAAGTGAGTAGCAAATAGTTATCATAAGGAGGAATGATCGATAATTCACAGTTTTTCATAAAATTTGGGTTTATAGTTTAACTCAATCTTATAAAATTGTATAATATGTAAGATGAGGATTTTTAACCTTACAAAACTAAGGGATGTCAAACAAATCAACTCAACTCACCATATGGTTGGTTGCGATTTGAGTTAGACTTGTTTTTTTATTGGTCAGAGAATCCAACTCATCCCGTGGTGCATTGCGAGTTGGGTTAAGTTGACCTATCAACCTATTTAAAAGAAAATAAATTATTTTTATTTTAATTGTCTTAAACTTTTTTCAAGCTTTAAAATCAAACAATTTAAAAAGAGTTTTTTACTCAAATAATTATTTTTTAAAAAAATTACCCAAATAGCAACTGTGCAAATTTATTTCCCCAACTAGCATTATTTACTGTTTACGTTTGGAACGGGCCGTTCCGGATTAAAAAATAACACATGGAAAATGGATCAGAATGGGTCGTTCCAAAATCAAAATTAGTACATAAAAAGTGGAACTAGAACGGACCGTTCTGCATCCGGAATGGGCCGTTCTGGCCTATAAATAAATAAAAAAATTTGTTCGATTTTCACTTATCAAATACCTAAACTTAAAAACTAACATCAAATAATTAAATTTATAGAATATTAACTTTATAAATATATCTAAATAAATTTATTAAAATTCAATACAACAATAAAGATCATTGGTGGCAGAAACTGATTATGTTTTTCTCTAATGTCCATCTCTGTTTTAATCTTGTTGGACTTTGGCCGACCCTTGAAAGTTCGCTTGAGTTCTAGATTTGGCCATAAAGTTGGACCAGTGTAAGTAGGTCAATAATCTTCATGTCGGAGCTCTCTAAACTGTCTTTTGTATACCTTTTTGGAACTTGCCGCAATCATACCACATTTCATTTAGTCTTACTGTAAATCTCCCAGCGGGTCACACTTCTCTCGGATGTTGCGTTTCTTTCAACTTTGTGGCCAAATCCAGAACTCAAGAGAACTTTCAAGGATCTGCCAAAATCTAGCAGGATTAGAATAGAGATGGACATTAGAGAACAATATTATTTGTTTAAAAAAAGTTTCCTATTGTCACACCCCTGGTCACACTAGGAAGACATATCCAAATATTGGTCATGAATTCAATTTTCGCCACCATTGATCTTTATTGTTGTAATGAATTTTAATAAATTTATTTAGTTATATTTATAATGTTAATATTCAATAAATTTAATCACTTGATGTTAGTTTCTGAGTTTTTGTATTTGATAAGTGAAAATCGAACAAAAAAAATTATTTATAGGCCAGAACGGCTCGTTCTGGTTCTACTTTTTATGTGCTAATTTAAATTTTGGAACGGCTCGTTCTGATCCATTTTCTATGTGTTATTTTTTAATCCGGAATGACCCTTTCTGATTTCAGAACGGTCCTTTCTGAACGTGAACAGTAAATGGTGCTAGTTAGGGAAATAAATTTGTACAGTTGCTATTTGGGTAAAAAAAATTAAAATAGTATTATTTGTGTAAAAAAAATTCTTAAAAAAGAGAAAAAAATGTTTTAAAACTAGTAATGAATCAAACAATTCAAATGTTCAAAATCACGACCCTTGAGGTTGTAATTAATGCAACCCCAAAAAGATTGCATGTTAAAAAGGGGAGGAATAGTGTTTGGTGAATAAGAGAGCTTAAAATAATTATTTAATGTGTATGTGACCATATACTTATAGTATTATACAAGGAAACTTTGAACAAAATATGAGAAAAAATTAATTATTGAAAATGTTTTTTGTTATTTAATATTTAATTTATATTAATTCTAAATTAAATTTTTATACATTGTATTTAAGACTTATAAATTTGTTCATGTCTATAAATGTGTCACCTTTTTTTTAAGTTTATTTTTTTTCATTGTTCATCCATGTAAATTCATTGTTTTTATATTTTTCTTTTTTCTGTAAATTATTCTTTTTCATTTTTTGTCTATCTACTGTGTTGTAAATGTGACATTATTACTAACATGACATTAATAATGTGATATTATGTTAACATGTAATATGATGAATCATTTTTTATTGACATAACTCATGATGTCTTCATCATGACGTTAGCAAGTTAACATTTTGTAATAGGTTTTGATGATAAGAAAAAAATTGAAATGTTTAAATTTTATAAAAATGATTTTGATGGAAAAAACTAAAAAAAACAAAAAAAAATTACGTGGATCAAAATTATATTTAAGTCAATAATTAATTATACTTAATTTATCAATTTAATTAATTGATTATTGCAAATTTTATTTGAAGTATTAATTAACATAATTAACAAATATAGTTATTGTTATTTAAAAAATATTATATATAATTAATTCAATTGAATATTACAATAAATGAAAAAGATAAATCTTATATGTATCCTTTGGTTCCATGCATTATAAGTTGTCCATTACATGCCAGATTTTGATATAAGCGTCCAAGTTGTTATGTTAGATGTTCCATATTATCAATTGTTGGATGATCTTTCTGCACAATGTCATCTAAACACCATAGTGGATGAGACTTTTTTATGTTGGTTAAATTGCATATTTGATGTTGATTCTAGAACCAAAATAGATCCGAGCAATATAAAAGGTCTAAACTTTTTATATTGATCAAACATCTAACATAAAAAGTGACTTTCTATGCTTGTTGTAGAAATACCAATATAGAAAGTGTATATTTTATGTCGAGTGTATTAATATCTGACATAATATCTGACATAGAATGCTTTACTTTTTATGTACGATCACCTTAAAATGCACTATATGCATAAGGACCAAATTAAGAATGTATAACTATTGGGATGCAAGCAAAGTTCCATATTGTTCAAACAAGAGGATGGACATGAGTTTATATACACACAGTTGTCTCCATTGGTTGAGAGGTTTCCTGGTAACATGGAGGGTTAGGAGGCGTGTCCCGCCCTCATGAGAGAGGTCATGATGGAGCCACCATCGGATAATAAATTTTCATTTATAGAAATCAAATAGAGAATTTGTGACACTTGTAAAGACTAAATTGCATGTGTAGGGACCAAATAAAAGTCTGTTACATGTATAAAGATTAAATTAATAATATGTATAAGAGTTAATGGTGTCAATAACCAATTTGATAACTTTTAAATAATATAGAGACTCATTTATTTTTTTTTATGTTTAGAGATCAAATTAAAAATATGCGACATGTGCAATAACTAAATTATTTGTTTCCTTATTTTAATATATTTTGTAATCTCTTATCTCTTTGAACATATCATTTTTTATATTTATACTAATATGCTCTTAGGAATATTATCAATAGTTAAAAATAATTTTGTATCACAATATAAATTCTTTATAATAAATCAAAAATATAATTTATAAATTTAAAATTATTTATTTGTTACAAATTTTAATTATAATACAATATAAAATAAAATAAAAAAATACTTATTTATTATAAATTTTAATTATACAAAATAAATAATTATATTTAGCATTGCACATCTGGTTACACTATAAATTAGATAATTTAAAGCTTGAAGAAAGATATTTTGGGCATGTAGGATTTTCATTAATGAAACCAAATGGTCGATACTCACTTCAACAAATATAGTCACTTTTAATTTCTATATGTAATAATTTGACAAGTCTTTACACTTATGTCTCTACACTTATTATAATTCAATTGTTACGCATCAAAGAGAATAAACAAAATCAATTAACCTAAGTTTATC